TGTATGTATATGTGTATATTCCATTATTTTAATTATTATTTGCCTGATTTTGTAATTGCCATTTGTCTGGGGTTCATCTTTGGTTTCTCATTTTTGGATATTTGTTTTAATCTCACTTAATGCCATAACAAACCACCTGTGGACTCTTTGTTCCTGACCAGAGATAAAGCCCTGAGCCTTTGGAATGGGAGCACTGGTTCCAAGACCCTAGACTATCAGAGAACTGACCCTGAAAGTGAAAGTGAAGTCGCTTAGTCGTGTCTGACTCTTTGCAACCCCATGGACTGTAGCCCACCAGGCTCCTCCATCCATGGGATTCTCCAGCCAAGAATACTGGAGTTGGTTACCATTTCCTTCTCCAGGGAATCTTCCCGACCCAGGGATCGAACCCAGGTCTCCCACACGGCAGGCAGACACTTTAACCTCTGAGCCACCAGGGAAGCTTGTAGGGATATCAGATAATGAGAACTCACACAAAGGAAACCACTGTAATATAAGACCCAGCATCACCCAACCACCAACAGCACCCAGTGCAGGACGCCTCATCTAAACAACAAACAAAACAAAAATACAAACCCAAACATCAGCAGACAGGATTACCACCTCACTCAGCCTTTCCCATCAAAGGAAAAACAAACAAACAAAAACTCAGCACAAATCTCACCTTATAAGAAAGCTCAAACCGTATACATTCCCTATAAGAAGCTTACACAAACCACTGGACCAACCTTAGAGGGAAAAAACCAAAAGGAAGAAAGAATTCAACCTTGAAGCCTGGGAAAGTGAAAAGTGATGTCGCTCAGTCATGTCCAACTCTTTGCAACCCCATGGACTGTAGCCTACCAGGCTCCTCCATCCATGGGATTTTCCAGGCAAGAGTTCTGGAGTGGGCTGCCATTTCCTTCTCCAAGGGATCTTCTGACCCAGGGATCAAACCTGGGTCTCCTGCATTGCAGACAGACACTTTACCATCTGAGCCACCAGGGAAGCCCAAACATGGTAAGTTAAAAAAAAAAATAGGCAGAGAAAAGGCAGATAAATACTACACAAATGAAGGAACAAACCACAAACACAGAGATCCAAATACGTGGAGAGGAAATAGGCAAGCTACCTGAAAAGGAATTCAGAATAATGATAGTAAAGATGAGCAAAAACCTTGAAAGCAAAATGTAGAAAATGTAAGACTCAATTAGCAAAGACCTAGAAGAATTAAAGAATAAACAGGCAGAGACAAACAACCCAATTACTGAAATTAAAAATACTCTAGAAGGAATCAATAGCAGAATATATGAAGCAGAAGAGCAAATCAGTGAGCTGGAAGATAAAATGGTGGAAATAACTTCTGAAGAATAGAATAAAATAAAAAGAATGAGTAAGAACTGAGGATTGTCTCAGAGACCTCTGGAACAATATCAAACACACCAACATTTGAATTATAGGGGTCCCGGAAGAAAAAGAGAAAAAGAAAGGGTATAAGAAAATTTTTGAAGAGATTATAATTAAAAATTGCCCCAACATGGAAAAGGAAATAGTCATTCAAGTCCAAGAGGCACAAAGAGTCCCATACAGAAACACTCTAAGACACACACTAATCAAACTAACAAAGACTAAATACAAAGAAAGAATATTAAAAGCAGCAAGGGAGAAGCAACAAATAACATACAAGGGACACCCCATATGTTTAACAGCTGATCTTTCAGCAGAAACTCTGCAGGCCAGAAGGGAATGGCAGGATATATTTAAAGAACTGAAAGGGAAAAATCTACAACCAAGATTACTGTACCCGGCAAGGGTCTCATTAAAAATTGATGAAGAAACAAAAAGCTTTTCTCAGACAAGCAAAAGTTAAGAGAATTCAGTACCACCAAACCAGTTTTACAACAAATGTTAAATGGATTTATATAGTCAAGAAATACAAGAGAAGAAAAAAAATCTACAAAATCAACCCCAAACAATTAAGAAAATGGCAATAGAAACATATATATCAAGAATTACTTTAAATGTAAATGGCTTAAAGCTTCAACCAAAAGACACAGACTGGCTGAATACAAAAACAAGGCCCATATACATGCTGTCTACAAAAACCCACTTCAGTCCTCAACACACATATAGATTGAAACTGAGAGGATGAAAAAATAAATTCCATGTAAATGGGAAGCAAAAGAAAGCTGGATAGCAATCTTCACATCAGACTAAATAGACCTTAAAATAAAGAAGATTATAAGAGATAAGGAAGGACACTACATAATGATTAAGGGATCAATCCAAGAGGAAGACATACCAATTGTAAATATCTTTGCAGTCAACATAGGAGCACCTCACTACATAAGACAAACACTAACAGGCATAAAAGGAGAAATTGACGGTAACACAATAATAGTAAGAGACTTTAACACTCCACTCACATCAAAAGACAGATCATCAAAACAGAAAATTAATAAGGAAACACAAGTCTTAAATGATACATTAAATGAGATGGATCTCATTGATATCTTCAGGACATTCCATGAAAATGAAGAATAATACACCTTCTTCTCAAATGCACATGGAACATTCTCCAGGATAGACCACATCTTAGGTCACAAATCAAACCTCAGTAAAATTAAGAAAATTGAAATTATATCAAGCATCTTCTCCAACCACAACGCTATGAGACCAGATATCAATTACAAGAAAAAAATTGTAAGAAACACAAACACATGGAGATTAAACAACGTGTTTCTAAATAACCAACATGTTACTGAAGAAATCAAAAGGGAAATAAAAAAATTTCTAGAAACCAGTGACAATGAAAACATGACAACTCAAAACCTATGGGATGCAGCAAAAGCAGTCCTAAGAGGGAAGTTTCTAGCAATAAAATTCTACCTCAAGAAACAAGAAAAAAATTGAATAGACAGCCTAACATTACACCTAAAACAACTGGAAAAAGAAGAAAAAAAAATCCCATAATTAGTAGAAGGAAATAAATCATAAAGATTCAAGCAGAAATAAAAGAAAAAGAGATGAAAGAAAAAATAGTAAAGATTAATAAAACTAAAACCTGGTTCTTTGAGACGATAAACAAAATTGACAAACCTTTAGCCAGACTCATCAAGAAAAAAAGAGAGAAGAATCAAATCAACAAAATCAGAAGTGAAAAGGGAGAGATTACAACAGACAATGCAGAAATGCAAATGATTTTAAGAGACTATTATGAACAACTATATGGCAATAAAATGGATAACCTGGAAGAAATGGACAGATTCTTAGAAAAGTTCAGTCTTCCAAGACTGAACCAGGAAGAAATAGAAATTATGAACAACCCAGTTACAAGCACTAAAATTGAAGCTGTGATCAAAAATCT